CGGTTTTGCTCGGTCTTACTTTTTGGCCTGTGCCTCGCGTTTTTAATCTGATGAAGTTTTAAATATTACATAATATCTGTTTAACAATTTACATATAACTTTAAAAAGGAATACAGCATTCCAGCAGACTCGAGTTTGCTAGGACACCTGTTCTCATGTAATGTAATTTAGACTTACGCATTTACATTAACATAGTATTAAGGGTACTTCCGACTTACCGAACTCTCAGCCTTGAGATGTTGTACATTGAGAAATTCATTAAAATCAGGGCAATCCGGGATAAAAATATCCTTGGCGAGAACATGGCAAAATTAGCTAGTTGGAAATTCAAGTAAGAACTCGTCAACAGTTGCTTGCGGTCCACGCAATGTCGATTAACAGAACTTGGTGTCATGGTAACGGGACTAAGTGGCAAAATTAGCAGGTAAGTGATAAACTATGTTATATATAGAAACACAAAACACCTGATTGACAAATCATAGCGACCAAAATACGTCACGTGAACATTAGTAGCTTTATATATACCTGTTCAACAACTATATTGTTAAACAGTTCGTCAAAAGGATTTAAAAACAATTGCTAAATGGCTTCTGTGTTTGGATGGCCTTACCCAAATACGCGGGAATGTTGCAAGAAAGAAAAGCGCGCGAAACACGAGCCCAAGGCGAGTGATTTTGCGAGCTTTTCTTTACCCGAGAGAGTGTTTGGAAATGTTTGGAAATCGTTTTACAGATTTGTAGTTATTTATATAAACGTAAACTTTGATCTTAGCCAACCGCCTTTAACGATATTTCCCCGAAGTCTCGCTATGGTCTCGCCACACAGTGAAGTTTCACACGCGAGGCGAGATTCTCTCGTGTGCGCGGATATAGTTTATAGACTACCACTCAACCAAAGACCCGTTTTTACACTTTTGCCGTGATTTTATGTGCGGTTTTCTTCTTCTGAGAGATATGAACGAGTCTTAAGTTACGAATGCTCTTGTGTTTACGAGTTCCTATTTAAACACCCGTAACTAATTTACTCGTTCACATCTATGAAAGGAAGAAAATCGCACATAAAATCGCAAGAGTAAACGGGCCCAAATATTACATCATTCGCATCAGTGTTGTTTATGACATACGACGACTTGTGCAACTTTTAAACGAGATGATGCACACGCATTCACTGGGCACAAGAAAAGGAATGTCAATTGAGGCCGATTTATGAACAAATTCGAAAATGATATAGGCGTAGCTTGTTGCTTGTTTTTCGACAATAACAAATCGTCAATGAAAATTAGGAAATAAACTAAATTTGATTAATCTCCATCAAGTAAATTTCCAAACACGTGAAACAACACGTTACAATTATCATGAAGAACAAGGTATTTTTTATATTCATTTAAAAGTAATCGACAAATTTGTTTATATATTTTTAACCTAATCTAATCACAATGCCTTAATTTACGCAGTCAAACTGGGTGTTTTCTTGCGGACTGTGAAATGTTGCAATATTGTGACGAAATGTTGCAATATTGATTTTGAATTTAGGTTTATGTTATGTTTATAGTCGTTAGCAACGGTCGCCTGCGATTGCCCCCTCTCAACTTTTTAAAACCTGTTGCTATTTGTTACTCGTTTCAAAAAATTTAAGTGAGTGGCTTATTGCAGTATAAATATGGTTCGGTATCAATCGCTTGGTTGGAACTTCGCTTTTCAAAAGAGAAAATACAGTGTAGCTTTATGCTCTTTGAGATATAATGTACAAATCATGGCGCACCGACCTAATTAGTTAACCTGCACCGTAGAACGAGAACGAACGAGTAGCCTCATTAACTGAACGAGAGTACGGTTCACAATCGTTCAAATAGATGGTTTCTATTGGCTAAAACAAGTTTATTATCATATTTGTTTGTAAACTTTAAGCCATAGCATGCATATTTTGGTCAGGTAATTTTGTGTTGTGATATCGTCTATATTATACGGTTACAACAGGGGGCATGCAACAAGATGACGATGATTGATGAACTGTAATGGTAACATCCCAAACTGAGGAATAACTAAGTTGAATAATATTATATATAGAACCCTGAGTATTTTACCGAAGTCGTCGATTCGTAAACTCAATTGAATTTTATAGTTACAGGTCGTGTTAAGTAGCCTCAATGCAATTATTACAACAATTCTTAAGCATTTCTTCATGTGTTTTAAGACATTTGCATATACGTGTATTCATATCAAATTCCAGGTGGATTTGCAATTGTGCGAACTACGAATGAGCTGTTTGAAAAAGCATGGCAGACGACGTAGAGGTTTTAAACATAGTGCTATTAAATTTGCACAACGCCGTTCAGGCAATATATTCAATGGAAGGAAGAGCAGACAAGCGAGATCGAAGCGACTGACGACAATTATTTGACTACGTTAGTCGCCTGTATAATGCAACTATATGATTTGTCTGCTATAATAGCAACGTGCACTCAAGCTATTTTACCAACAGCTCGTATTGAACAGATTCTTTCTCCAGATTTTTTCGGTTCAAACTTCCCGGGAAGGGATTTCTATAGTGAATTGAAAGGTGTGAACACTTGTTCTGAACTATGATGGGCAATAGCGTAGAATAATTTAGACGCATCGTTCAAAAAATGATCAAATTCGTCGTTATTTGTAGTAGCCTATAGAATGTACCTATAGAAATCAAATGCCTTTACTAAATAGTTCTTTGCTCTCTTACAATGAAATCAAGAAGCCTTCGTCTCACTGCACGCCGATTTCCAACATTTGCATATAGGTTCTGAACGTTATCAGGAAGTTCGGCAAATCTATCATGCCTTGCAATATCGTTTGCAATGACGTCCCAAATGGGACCATTCTCCATATACCGCTCATGAATTAATCGTCTTTCAACCTCACCTATGCGTCTTACTTGTCTTGCATTCATTTTTAAAAAAGTTAAAGAAATCCGGCCGCGAGCGATTTCAAAAAGATTGTCTCTTGCACAATGCAGCAAATAATTTAACTATCGTAATATAGCAGTTACTGCTGATTTGCATTTAAGTTTACTGTGGCTATGGAACTTATTATGATCCTGGGGTTTGAATATACGTTTTAACTGGCATGTTATGGAAATTACAATAATATCACAAAGTCGAGTTAAACTTAACGCTAAATAGTTTCTATCACATGAAATTCCTTTCTGTTATGATCACCTATTAGGCTCAAATAAAAAATGTGATGAAATTACAATTCTTTAGGCGTTTTCATGCAGTTACAAGATGTGAGATTTTTACGTGCGCATGCATGTGTATTGCATATCCCCAAATATATATCTAATGGTAATACATGTCTGTGTGTATCTTCTTTACGGCCTTAAGTTAAGACTATCTTCCACCATCCTTGATTGAATTAGCCGAAATGTAGTTTTTCTATCAGCACAACGACAGAAAAAATATACAAGCATTACAATACGGTTGAAAACATGTTTAGTACAAGCAAGCGACTTTTTGTCGCTCATTCGTTCGTCGCTTTCGTCCATTCGTACATATTTAAATATGCAAACCAATCAGCTTTTCGTAATTTCAATGAAAACATTAGCATACTTGCATATTCGTTCGTTCTCGTTTTACGGTGCAGGTTAACTATTTAACCCACTAGAAAGTGTCGAATAACATATATCTACCTTCTTAGTTCTTGTGCCAGGATGTAAACCAGGAACTCTTTCAACGCTTGCGATTGTCGAATTTGAGTCAGTGCATTAAGACAACAAAAAAGAAGTCATTGAACATGAAATCTGTACTCAAATATGTTCTCTCCAGGTCAAATTGACGAAATTATTAACTCCTCCTTCAACTGAGTAGACTAGATTGCAAGTCAGCAGATTATAAAACATCCTTCACACATTTAAGACATTTATTTGGATTAGGTCAATATTATACTTGTAATATTTTTAAATTGTGCATTAAGCCCCGTTTACACTACGCAAACTAACCCGCGTCGAACCCGGGTTAACGTTTTTTTAAGTATAAGGTTAGTTTGAACTCTGCTTTGAAGGTGGGTTCGCCCAGGGTCAAACCCGGGTTAACACAATGTAAACAAACCCAGAGTTCGACCCGTGTTGGTTTGGGTTGTGTAAACGAGGCTTCAGACTTTGCGTTTTCAAACCGTGCATTATTAATTCAACACAACGGGATATCGATATATGATATATTCCAATCCCTGTTTATATAACATTTATAGTACACGCGTGCTTATTGGTCGAGAAGCGTGTTTCTATTTAACAATTATTTGCCGAAGGCGAGGTGAATGTCGCTCAATAAAGTTTTTATTCAGCGATATTCACCGAGCTTGAGGTGGATGGCTGTTTTAGTATAATAACAAAGGTGATTTTTTGAAAAATTGAGTCTGATGTAGAAAATACATGTTTTACAAACGTAAACAAATACCTCGACAGGATTACGGCGATTCAAAATAAAACAATGTCTTCGCAAAATAAAGTTGAAAAGCGTTCTACAAAGTAGTTTTTATGTTGACAATAATTTTACCCCTAAGTTTTTCACTTCTTTTGTGCTTTCAGATAGAGTATTTTCGTCAAAATAACGTATTTCTTCATCTGTCAATTTCACAAAAACAACTCGCCGCCATTTTGAAAAATCCGCTTAGGTGATTATCGGGTAATAATCCGAGGTCACTCGACCAATCACAGGCCAGTATTTTCATTAATCACCTTTGTAATTATAGTAAAATTGTATAGAAACACAGTACTTTTCCTGCCGAAATTAACAGGCGAAGTAAAGTAATGAGGATTCGTAATCGATCGATTCATAGGAAATACTGTAGCATTTTAAAAAACATTGAAAATTATCTCTAAAAACTCGTGTATCTCATATTAATTTATTGAAGGATTAGCTGGTTGATTAAAATTAGAGTTAAAAAAAACGATTAGTGTTAGGATTAAGGTTAGGATTAGGTTTAGAATTAACTTTATTAAAATTAAAATTTGTTAATGAGGAAATTGGCCCACAATTCCGGCAGATAAGTTGCACTTGTAGCTAGAAAGCCTCGGTACAAAAAATTTTAAACGTTCTTTCAAATGATAATTAGTAACAATCCTGTAGGAGTAGTATTAGTATTTAGTATAACATACCAGGAGATCATCGATAGAGCTGTGCACGTGATTCCAGGCATTCATTGTGAACGACCTGCCATTATCGTCTAGAATCGATTACCTTAGAACGCCATTATTTGTTTTGTGATCAGTGCGATGTTGAAATCAGTGCAACAGTAAAAACAAGCAGATAAAAGTTCTGAGACTACATAGCATTCTCTTCCACATTTAAAGAGGTACGACTCTGATTGGCTCGCGATGGGGAACGGTCCTGCATTGGAAAGACCTGACTAGATCGAACATTGTCTTCCTCGTTTAAAGAGGAACGACTCTGATTGGCTCGCGATGGGGAAGGGTCCTGCATTGGAAAGACTGGACTAGATCGAACATTGTCTTCTTCGTTTAAAGAGGTACGACTCTGATTGGCTCGCGATGGGGAAGGGTCCTGCATTGGAAAGACTGGACTAGACCGAACGTTCTCTTCCTCGTTTAAAGAGGTACGACTCTGATTGGCTCGCGATGGGGAACGGTCCTGCATTGGAAAGACTGGACTAGACCGGACGTTCTCTTCCTCGTTTAAAGAGGTACGACTCTGATTGGCTCGCGATGGGGAACGGTCCTGCATTGGAAAGACTGGACTAGACCGGACGTTCTCTTCCTCGTTTAAAGAGGTACGACTCCGATCGGCTCGCGATGGGGAACGGTCCTGCATTGGAAAGACTGGACTAGACCGAACGTTCTCTTCCTCGTTTAAAGAGGTACGACTCTGATTGGCTCGCGATGGGGAACGGTTCTGCATTGGAAAGACTGGACTAGACCAAACGTTCTCTTCCTCGTTTAAAGAGGAACGACTCTGATTGGCTTGCGATGGGGAACGGTCCTGCATTGGAAAGACTGGACTAGACCGAACGTTCTCTTCCTCGTTTAAAGAGGTACGACTCTGATTGGCTCGCGATGGGGAACAGTCCTGCGTTGGAAAGACCTCACTAGAATGGACATTCTTTTCCTCGTTTAAAGAGGAACGGCTCTGGTTGGCTCGCAATGAGGAACGGTCCTGAATTGGAAAGACTCGACTAGAACGAACATTCTCTTCCTCGCTCACAGGGTTAAGACTCAGATGACTTTGTGATAGAGAACATTCCTTCACAACAGGAACGACCTGGCCAGATTTCTGTTTTCGGAAATCGTCAAAGGTTGAGATGGGCGATGCGCCTGATTCAACTTTGTCGAAAGCCGTATTGACTTCGGGAGTGACCCGTGTCCTTGATCTTCGCAGGTTGAAAGATATTGGCGATCTAGTTGAACGCAGTCTGGCTCTCTCGGTTTTATAAAGCCACGTGCTCTTACGCTCACGAATTTGTTTATCTCTCAGAGCCGAAATCTGCTGTTCTAAGGATTTGGCGAAATCCTCCAGTGACTTGCGACCCTCCGTTCTGAGGTATTCTGCGACTCGGAATGAAGGAATACTCTCTTCTGCGAAGGTAGAGACGAATAATTTAAGATCTTGGGATTATTTTATTGCACTTCGTTTAGAACGGAATGTTTTATAGAATAAGATATTCGTTAGGAGAACGAAAAATCAGAATTTAATGAATTAAGACAGGAAATACCGCACTTATGCGTAAACCATAAACGTGGATGCATGCAATAGCATGCAAAAAACATGTTTTGTAAAAAATTGCAGAAAAATTTTCAGGTCGTTTCAGATAAAAATTAATCTGAATTCATACACAGGATGCAAAACGGGAGAACAAAACACGCCTAGTGGACTGGAACTAGGAATTATGGCATGCGAATATTTATCACAATTCTACGACACAAAAAACTCACTCAGTTTCTCTCTTTTACTTTGCTTCTGTTTCTCCTTTCTCTTGTACCTTCCAAAATGCCAAATCAGGCCGAGGATAATTGCCACAGCTAACAAACTGATGGTAACTTTGGATGACTCTTGAAACGCTTCTGCTGAGGGATCAAATAAACCAGACGATTTCTCTTTGGCTTCGTCAGCCTCCTTTCTATCCTGTTGCAAAAAATATTCGGCAAATTCAAGCATCGAAGTCCCGAATTTTGCCAATAATATCCTAAATCCTGACTGTAGTTACAGCAAACAAATTACAGGAGGGAAATAACCCAAATTAATGATCGTAAGGGCAGCAAGATGAGAGCTAAAACAAGAAGCTTATCCTACGAGCATGAAGACGAATTTTCACATTTTCGCGAGCATTTCATCGTTTTTTCTACCTTTCGCCTTTCTAACGTTCACTTACAAGAGATATGGAATCTGTATTTTTTTCGACAATCAACGAGATCTTGGTCTTTTGCGCAGCCAGAGCTTGGCGAAATAATGGCGCGGCTTTGGCCATGTTTCCAGACAGGACAAAACCGTAACCAGTTGGATATTCTATTAGACGATTCAACTGGATATCTCCTCCTTCAAACATACTTTTCTTAGTTGCCGCAGCGTACATGTCAAGTAAAGCTCCTGACACCTCCTTGTTATGCATTGCGTTGATCAAATCTTCCATATTGTTGTAGGGAACAACTGAAAAATCAAATTAAATCTTTTACGCTAACAGGCTGTAGCCGCTCTATATAGTGCCTGGCATTATTTCAACATGAATCCTATTCTAAACAATCGTCTTGATCTTTACAGGGAATGCCTTACCATCTGCATTCTGTCTAACTGCCTTTGAGTATTCAGCAGAATTTAAAATAGCCCCGACCTAAAAGTCGAAATACAAGCAGTAAGCATTGGATTTACAGGAATGCTGATAGAGCATGCAATGATTAACTCTGAAAAATTAGGCAGAATTATTGGGAAAATACTGGTGAATTCCAGCCTAGATTTTTAGCCAAATTATTGCCGTTTTGAAAAGCACTTTCCCTTTCAGAAATCAGTCGTACAGTTTTGGCAAATTCAAACGATATCGCAAGATTATTAACCGTCACTTCTTTTCCTACATCAAAAGTAAACAGGCGAAATATCACTCGAGGTAAGCGAGATCATATGAACAGTCGCCCTATAGCTAGGAACTATATGCCTAAAAATTTCTTTTATTACCTGTGCGCCATACATTTTGTCTTCCTGTATAACTAATACTGACGTAATTGACGAGACAATCGCCCCCGTGACGATCGAAATAATCACGAGACCCATCAGAATCCAAACCGAAGCAAACAGACGACCGGGCACAGTAACTGGACTGCGATCACCGTATCTGAAACAAATTATGCACATTACTAAAAATGCTGGTGTTGTTACCTAGAATAAGGCACTTCAAATCATGGCGTTGATGCATAGGCAGCCCAAATTCGCGTGATAATATAAACCATTAAATTCTTCGGCAATTTTATCAACATATTGAGTATAATAGTAATAATTACAATAATAATTTGATCTCCTTATAGTTGATGCAATATCTTCAGTCTCCAGGCGATTTTTAAAGGATTATGATTAAGAATTAGGATTTAAAGGATTAGGATTAAAATTAAATTTCAGGATTAGGATTAAGTTTAGGTTAAGTTTCCTTTAGTTGATTCAACTTGTCAATATCAAAATCGACTCATAAATAAATTACTTACCCAACACTTGTAATGGAGACAAAAGCCCACCAAAATCCTTCTGGAATACCTTTCGTAAACGATTCTGGGAAATTCTTGTTTTTTTGTTTACGCTCCTAAGAAAAAAGTTGAAAAATCGCGATCAAATTCATTTTAAAATAACATTTTCACCGGCGAACGAGTCGGAATGCAATCAAGAAATCCCGACCGAAGTCAGGGCTGAATCTTTCCAAATTAATAACTTCCACCATTATTGAACTATTACATATATCCTCGATGTTTACAAATTATTTTTGAAAACTGACGTTTGACAGATCGCTGAAAAGACTCATTTTTTTGACGGTCAGACAAGGGGTTTTCCTTTTAAATTCAACCGCCTCTTCCACCGTCTCTGTTCAATAATTCACCAACTCTTTCAGCCGCCATATGCATATTTGACTATTGTCTTTGATATTCTCAAATGAAGTAGAAACGAAAAACTTCAGCTTTTATCTCTCAGCCTTTGGCTGAACGGCAGGCAGCTTAAATTGTTGAAACCTTATAACAACTTACCAAGACCCAAATGATAATCCCAGCGATCCACGCGAGGAGGATCATCAACACAACCAACGGCATACACGCCACGACTGCCTGGACAACCACTGTGGCAGTTGAGGGGACATTTTTGACGGTGAAGTACGCCGAACCGGGTGCATCGACGACAGAAATGTACGGAAACACTCCACCATAGGTCGTCATAAATTTATTACCCTGGACGGGAAAACTGATTTCAACATTTCCACCAATATCGGTTGAAACGGATTGTAAACTATTTTTCTGATAACTGTTTCCTGATGAACGTCTTCTCCGACGTTTTTTGTCGCAACCCTCTTCGTAGCAAAATTCGGTTTTACCATGACCGTTTTCGCAAACACCACACATGTCGTCCAGAACTTGTTTGGCTACCACAAAGAAAATTCCGCCGGGCGAATCGGAATTGCTGATGTTCGTGTAAGGAGGTAAGACCCACCAATTGGAGCGAAGGTACTTTGGACAACGACATGTTTCTACAATAAAAATCTATCTTTTTTTAAGGAGGCTCGCGGTGGACACAATTGGTGGAAGTACAAATAGTACGAGTGGCTCATATCATATCAATAGTTACAATCACAAATGAACTTAACGCCAAAGTCCTTTTAAAACCCTCACCGTAATAGACCTTTCTTATAATGACGTCACCACTGATGTTACACGAAATTTGACTATCGAGCCAATCAAATTTTGTGTAACATCAGACTTTCCGTGTTTGACGTCATGGGAAAGGTCATCAAAATCTTTTAATATTTTTGTTGAAAGAACGATTCTAAGAATTAGACTGCCGCAGAAAAAGGCACAAAGAAGGTACGTACCAGCAGCTGTGGCGTTGCTTTTCGAGCCATTCCTACTGGTATAGCCAAAGATACTGATCTCGTAGGTAGAGCCAGGGTCAAGGTTTTTGAGCACCGTTGAGTAACGATTCCCTCTGACTCTTTTCGACTGAACAACTCGTTTATCGGAAGGTATGACCTCTCCAGCCAAAACTGTTGCCGTGTATTCGACGTAGTAACCACGTAAGATGCCGTTATGATATTTAGCTGGGATTCTCGTCCATTCCAGCTCTATCTCTGTGATGTGTTTAAGTGTGGAAATTTTGATGTCTTCCGGGGGATATTCCGGACCTGAGATAAATCATACACGTATGTTACCGGCTAAGAGAGACTACTGCCTGGGCAAGTCATTTTCGATTTTGAGTCGTTCAAATTTTCGCGCCAAGCGTGGTCAATTTGTCACTGATATCATAACATATAACGACCCTTCGCACCCTAGGCAAGAGTTTCCCGTTATGGAAAACTGTCAACTTTATTGCAAAAAAAATTGTTTTGATTATCTCACTTCACTTTCCGGATCACGTTTTCAGATATGAGCTAATTCTTACCGTCTTCCCCAGTGGAGTATATGTGACCTGGGGGATATCGCGGGCCTTCACCCTTACTGTTCACAATGGTCACCCACATGGTGTAGTTGGTAAATTTCTTCAGACCTTCGACGTAGTAAGATCTTTCAGGAAATGGAATCATCTTGGACACAATCATATTACCAGGATTGTCAGTCTCGATGACGGTCAGTTTGTAACCAATCGGAATGCCATGTGCAAAATTCGGTAGGACTGGATCCCATTCAAACGACATGGTGGTCGTTGTCAAGGCAACGCCACGAATATTTTCGGGGTAACGGCTTGGAACTAAAAGTGAAAAACACCACCTTACGGAAGTCGCCATCAAGGGAAGCCCTAACCATAAAAAATAGTCACTCAGAAAGATTCATTCTCAGACTCGCGTGATGTGTCAATTCTTTCCAATCCAGTGTATATTAAGATCAGTCCTAAGTATTGATTGTCCACATACATAAATATAATTAACATTCTGACTTTGTAATTACTATATGGGAAGCGTCATTTCGGTGAAATGGAGCTCAGTGATTGGCTGAGAAGAATGACTTTCCGGCAATGGATCGGAACATTCCCGTAATAAATAGACTGGCGTCACCGGCGATCTGTTACGAGATGAAAAACAGACAAATAAATGCTCAAGAGAAAATTTAATTGCTTTTGAAATCAATAAGACGTCTCCAGACAGTTTAGGTAAACTAGATAATTCAATATTTTGTTTTTGTTTTTACCTGAATACGATTTCAGGTATTTCTCGTTTTTTTCAAGTGCAAATACATGCCTTAAGCCATATAATAAACTCTTTATTAACCTCGCCTATTCGGTCTTCTTCACGGAGCAATATTGGACCTCGATTTTTTGTACAAATCGAGTTTGGTCTGTTCAAAAAGACCTCAGTCAGATATTTCTCGAAAAAGACCTCGCGCTCGGTTAATAAGAAGTTAATAACCAACCTTCTTCGTCAGTCTGAACGCCGATATTCAAGGTCACTCCAGTGCCAATCTTTGTATAACCACCAATGTATATATCATACCACCACCACCAGAACAGTCCAGTCAAGTGACATTCCAGATGATTTGGATCAGATATTGGGATCTCAATCATTTTCTGTTTTCTGGTTGTGTCTGCAGCACGATAATAAACACGATATCCAAGAAGAGCTCCTTGATGGTGCTGGGAATCTATGGCCTCCCATTTGAGATAAATACTTGAGGAGCTGGTGTGTTTACCTTCGACAAGAGTGGGTGCTTTGGAAGGAGCTGCAAGAAAATATATAATTTAGTAGGCAATATACACCTAGAACAAGGCATTTTATATCTCTACTGGCTTTTCCTACTGTTTCTTTTAACAGACAGACACACAGAAAGACAGACAGACAGATATACAAACGGAGCGACACAGTCGAACAAGTAGATTAACTACTCACTTGACTCTTCCGTAGTGATGGATATTGGTGAACATTCCGGGCCATTCCCAACACTCGTATAGGCCAGAACTTTGACTTGATATTCAGTAAGGAACTTCAGGCCGGTTATATTCACTTTTCTTCTATCAGCACCCTCAACATTTATCCATTTTACAGGCTCACCAGTAATCCCGTATGACACATTGTATCCTTTTATGATCCCATGTCTTGCTTCGGGTCTCACTTCGTCCCATGTGAGAAGAACACCAACTGTGGACGTCATAGCTGTTGCATTCACATTCTGTGGCGGTTCACTCGGAACTAATTGAGATAAAAAACTATATAACAAACAGACAGACAGACAGACAGACAGACAGACAGACAGACAGACAGACAGGCAGGCAGGCAGGCAGGCAGGCAGGCATGCAGGCATGCAGGCAGGCAAGGGCAGGCACAAGCAGGCAGGCAGACAGACAGACAGACAGACAGAAAGACAGACAAATAAACAGAAAGACAGACAGACTGGCAGACAGACAGACAGACTGGCAGGCAGACAGACAGGCAGGCAGACAGACTGGCAGACAGACAGACAGACAGACGGACGGGCGGGCGGACGGACGGACGCACGGACGGACAGACAGACAGACAGACGACATACCATACTCCAAGGTGACAAAACTCGTACTAGCTTCTTCTCCACATCCGGGAGTTGTTTTGGCAGACACGTAGACATAATACTTCGTAAAATGATCCAAACCAGTAAGAACGGTCTGCAGTTGTTCAACGTCGGTGACATTATGAGTGTTACTGGTTGATGCTCCTCTTGCTTTATATCTCACGCAGTAGCCTCGTTGAATGCCGTGCCAATATTCTGAGCTCACTGTGGTCCAGGATAAATTTAACGATTGAGATGTTGGAGACGAAATGTTCAATATTTTCGGTGCCACACTTGGAACTGAAAACAGATGTTTGTAATTACATACAATTACATTTTATCAGCGAAAGATCATGCGTCATTCAAATATGATTTAAAATTGTTGTAAAATGTGCAAAGCATAAAAAACGAGGCAATACCATCTTCTAGGGTAGTGTTTGTGACAGGTGCACTTGGGATACCATTTCCTTTCTCAGAGTAAGGGCAAATCACCATTCGATACTCGGTGAATTTCTTGAGCTCCTCCAAAGTCTTCGAAAGCTTGGTAGGATCTACGCCTATTTTCTGGTACGGTTTTGCTGCCGTCTCTTTAAAGAACAACACGTATCCAGTAAGATTCGACGTGTTTGCTGTTTCAGCTGAGCTTGGCAGAGCTGGCCATTCCGCTCTTATGCCAGTTGAACTGAACGGTGTTGCTTGCAGAAAAAGTGGTGACGAAAACACTATAAGATAATGAAGTAAATGAAGCGTCAACTTTCCATTAGCAATCTTTGCGTTAAGACCATGATGAACCATTATTGACCCATGGTTTCTAAGCTTATAGTTGCTGTTCAGAGAAAAAAAGGCTTTTTACTTATTACATTCCAAATGGCTGCTCGTTTTGCCGAAGAATTATGTTAATAGTGTCCGAAAATGGACTGATAAAGCAATGGTACGAGCTGATAAACAATATAATCTGACTGAATACGAATCGTTTGGTTACCGTGACCGGACTTCGAAGCCGAAATATCTTAAATACTGATATTAGAATTTAAAACTAGATAAACTATTTGGGAAATTCCTTTCTTACCAAAAACGTATAATCTTACCATTTGTTGAGGTCATGCTGTGTAGAACGGTTTCCGTTGCTGAATCCAGCCATTTATCTTGGAGAACAACCAGCTCATCACCGGAAAGCGACTGATATTTAAGATCCAATTTGCAATTCACTTTATTTCCCACTCCGGCACTAAAATAGACGAGCAATAATTGTGGGATATAGATTAAAGATTGTCCAATCAGAAAGCTTGGTGTGTACCACGTGATCAGTCAAATCATCCTGGACTTAAACATTGCACATAAGTCGACATCATGCACACACGTACGGATCCCGGCGTAGAAATAACTAATTTGATATAGTCAATGCTGTTTTATAAACTTTTCCCTCAGATTTTCTTTCAATCGTGAGAATTCGACCGTAGCGAATTTCCTCGACCAATCACAATTGATAAGAAATAAAGTGAAAAATTTCCATCGAAAAATTCTGCCTAGTGGAGAACCGCCTTCTTTGGCTTGTCGTTCCAGTAATTCGATAAAATATTAATCGAATATACCTGGAAGATCAAATCCTTGCCTTCCAACCCAGTAATCGCACGGTGGTCCTTACCTGCACGATGTAAATGTGATGTCTGGAGGATATGCCTCGTACACAGAATTTATCTAGAAAAGAATGAATGTGATATTTATTATCCTAACACCACGTTAAAGAAGACTGCCCGGGATGGTTGGAATTAAGCAACCTAAAAATGATTTGGGCTTGGTTCATTTGAACACAACAATATGGGAGCCGATTTGTTTTAAGTTTTAAGATCCTGCTTCAGGGTTTCGACATTTGATTCAAAATATGTTTTCAAGATCCTTATTTTGTCAGTGTGCACACTCACCGTTCCCTTTACAGAGTTCTCGAATGAGGTCACGTCTCTGTTATATTCAGTCATCGTTACGCTGTCAAAGGTCACGTCGAACATGATGTTAGCAGCTAAAAGAGCAAAATAACGCAGAATTTAGCGTTTAGCTGGCGAAAATGTCTGAGTTGGTGAAAAGGGGACTCGCCCTAAAAAATTGAGAACCCATTTTCTTAGCCGATGTCTTAATTGGATATTTTCTTTGAAATTTGAACCGAAGATCAGCAAGAGACAAATTCGTTTAGGAAAGTATGTTCATATAATCCGACGTTACCCTGTAAAATTCAAGATAGGTTAACATTGCATGGGAATTGAATAAAAAAGGATAATCAGTGAGGTTTGCACGCTCGAGGAAATAATAGGAGACACACGACTCTAAAAAAGCCGTTTCTGGTGAGGTTTCAAATTTTGTATTCTTAGAGGCTTTGTATTTGAAATCCTCTTTCCAGAACGCAGTCTAATAATACACTGACTTACGCGAACAAGGTGACGTGTTGCAATCATTGGCCTCAGAGGAAGGACCAGTGCAGTTCTTTCCACCATACATCGGAGTTGGGTTGGTACACGAACGTTTCCTATCCGAGGTACCAGTTCCACAAGGTTTGTTACAGAACATCCAGGGACCCCAGTCACTGTAGCCTCCGTCAACTACAAAAAAAAAAGAAGCATTACATAATGTCCAGGCCGCTGATCTATACCAAATCTGGATAACGTATGGCCTCGGAAAATATTTCCCAATTCGGTGAATAACATAGAGATATAATAATAAAGAAAAAAAGCCACTTACTAGGACAATGATGTGTGTTGCAGTAGTTTAAGTCATGGCCCGGTCCTTTACAGGGTGAACCACCATGAGCTGGACTTGGATTGTTACATGATCTGCCTCGCACTCGAGTTCCGTTTCCACACTCCTTGGTACAATTTGCCCAAGATGACCATTCACTATAGTTTCCATGAACTAAAAAGTTAAGAATTTACAATATCAACAACATAAATTTTATTAATCTCATAATGTCTATACAGTAAATGTTTTCCTATATAGGGACCAGTGAGCACGGTTTGTCTATGTGGACGACAGTGAGGAAGGTTTGTCTTTATAGGCGGCAATGAGGAAGCCTGGCCAAAAAGGGGACAGTGAGAAAAGTTTGTATGTATAGGGTACAATAAACAGCTGTCTATATTGGGATAGTGTGGAAGGCTTGTCTATATAGGGGACAGTGAGGTAGGTTTACCCACATATAAGAACCCTAATTTGCATGACATCTATATATTTTCTTATTTCCAACATTTATATTAATTCATTTTATTTCGAGGAAGGAGTAAAAATGTTTCAAAAGTTTTGCAACTCGGATCTCTCTTAGTTTCGAGATATTATCAGGAATCGTTTGAAAGAGGGGTACGTCTTCATATGAAGATAAAAAAACCGGGATTGAATCAGCTGCATAACGATAGTGGAAATCTTCCAACCTTACCTGGACAAGGATGGATATTGCAATCTTGTGATTGTGTTCCATCCTCTTTGCATCCTGCAGCCCCAGGGGCTGGGGGTGGGCTATTACATAACCTGTAGCGGATCTCATGACCTCCACCACACGCTTTTGTACAGGGGTTCCACCACGCCCAATCTGACCACTCAGCCGGAGGAGGCTCTGATAGGAAAACAATTTGACAATGAACATGTGCTATATACACCTCGGAAAATATATTTTTATTTCTATGACTCCAAAACGCACTTTTATAGCCTTTGAGAGAAACTTTAACGAAAATTTTCAAGACCATAGACAAGGCCAAACAATGAATTTATACATGCAAACACGACTAATTCCGTATTAATTACTTTAAACAACAGAGCTACCTTACTAGCGAGAAAAGTGTTGTAAATGTCGTGAACAAGTGAACAAGTCATTTTCACCACGTTTGCCATTTGTCTTCATTTCTGTATTCAAATGTTGACTTCACACACATATAGAAATATTCTATTACGCCAGCCAACTTGACATGTTCACGACACTTACGACTAAAGCCCCGTCGCTACACTACATACATTGGCATTGCTACGGCATGGTTCAGCCTGCCAAAACATGAAATGGGCACAAGTACCCATTTTAGCCGTGCTGCGTCAATAACTTGACTGTAGTGTAAACGGGGCTCAAATGGAAACCAGGTATTATTATGTATTATTTTAAAGAAATAATTAAAATTTGGCATAAATTAGCATTATTATTGAAGGCCAGAACCAAAGAGGAATACCTGGACATTTGACGTAATCATATTCATTGCAAGGCATCACTTCGATATCATGACCTATGCAATAATTTCCACCGTTTCTCTGAAGTGGATTGTTACAAACTCTGGTTCTAACTTCTTCCTGGTGACCGCATGTTTTACTGCACTGAGACCAATCAGTCCACATGGACCAACCTCCGTTTACTACAAAATGTAAAATATATTGTATGGAGGCAACTTCCTAATGAGACTACACGAAAGTGGTGCGAGATTGGATCCATGACATAGATTTTGGACAACTTCAGATTTGGCATTATTCTATCACAATACCCGGCTGTAATAAATCTCCGAGCGGAATTAGTACCTTCGCACAGCGCTCGGCGATGATTTTTATATACATTCTAACGTTTAAGGTCAAGTATTTCATCTCAAATCAGAAAGAAAATAGGAATGGATGCATAACTCTTTTACCAGGGCAAATTTGTGTTTCACAGCTCATCGTGACGTTAGTAAGACTCTGACAGGAATCTTTCTCATTCTGGGTACACTCCCTAGTTTTGTACATCACACCCTCACAGCCAGACGAGCAAGCACCCCAGCTTGCCCAGGTGGAGAAATTTACATCGTCTAAACAGAAAAATTGACAAGATTTAGCAATATAATAAGGTGTGTACTGTTGGGCTAATCCTTTCACTGGTCGTCGCATGTGGCGAAGTGTAATTAATAGGTAAAAGTAGTCAGGCGATGGCGAATACAATTTGAGATTAATAGTGCAAATGTTGTTTTAAAGGTTTAAAAAAATCGACGAGCCGCAAGGCTCAGAGTTTTGCAGAGAGCTTTGTTAAAAAACTCAGGACGAGTAGGAGAGTGGGGGACTAGGTTATGCAAAGGGTACAAATCCATATCCCCCCATGGTTCAATAAATGAAAGCCCCCGAACCTGGGCAGTTAGATGCATTTTCACATTCTTTAATCTCGTAGAGTGGTCCCAGACAATCGCTCCCACCAAACAATGGTGGAGGATGGGTACAGTTGCGATATCGTGAACGTGTTCCAAATCCACACGAGGTCGTACAGGCTGACCAATCTGTCCACGGAGTAAAGTTTCCGTTCACTGCAAAGAAGGACATTG